CCAAATAAATCAAAATTCAAAAAGTTAAGAACAGACTTGCACTGTGACACCATACTTTTCAGGACAGCTCAACAAATTCTTGCCAATTTGTAGAAAAAGTAATTCTCTTTAAAATCAATTGCTCGGCCATCCTTAATTGCATTGTATATCTCAAAGGCCTCAAGATGTTTAATTTTGTGATAGCAGCAGCAAAATTGCCAGAACCACCACATATCTTTTCACTCTGGCCTAGGCATCATGCAGAGTAAACAAAATGAGAAACAGCTAACATTGCTTGATTTGAAAATATTAGTGGTATGATTTAATATTTATTAGACATCTCTGTGCCTTCATGCTGGCATTCTTAAGGTCTCTGACTTTTCAGACACACCTTGTACATTTATTATATAAATATAACCAATCAATATTTTGTATATACAGTAATACCTCAAACTTACGCGATAGGTGGGACTGAGTGATAACCGCATAAGTCGGGGTATAATTATACAAATTATTTTTAATTGGGACCGGAGACTAAAGAAAACAATAATTTAGAAAAAAATGTTTCCAAAAGTCTTTAACAGAGAGCTCATTGTTTTTTCTCATAGCTTCATGCAGATGTGCAAACAGTCATCTTGTGTAATGAGCTTTGAATGTTTTGATTACTCCCTGATCAATCAGTTGAAACAAGCTGGTTGTATTTGGTGGAAAAAATACAACTTTCACACATGGGTCAAAATTAGTTTCAGGGGGATGACCTGGCGTGTTGTCGATTATTAGCATCACTTTAAGTGGAATTTGTTTAGATTGGCAATAACATTCGACTTCAGGTATGAAGTGATGACCAAACCAGTCCTCAAAAAGGGAAGCTGCCACCCAAGCTTTACGATTCAACTTCCAAATCACAAGCAAGCCAGCTTTAGATTTTTTTTCAATGCTCTTGGATTTTCCGAGCGATAAACTAAGAGAGGTTTTAACTTACAATCACCAGCTGCATTCGCGCCAACCATCACTGTCAATCAATCTTTGGCTGCCTTAAAACCTGGAAAAGTTTCTCTTCACATGTGATAAACATTCTTTTAGGCATCTTGTTCCAGAACAGGCCAGTCTCATCTACGTTGAATATGGTTTGGCTGGTATAGCAACCTTCATCTATCATAACTTTGAATTTTTCTGGATTGTAAGATGCAGCCTCTTTATCAGCACTTGCCGCCTCTCCACTTTCTGCAATGTTATGCCAATTACAGTGACTTTTGAATCGGCTGAACCAACCGTTACTAGCTTTAACCTCTTCATCTTTAGCCACTTCTCCAGCATCCTCTTTCAATCTCTCAAAAACCAGCTTAGCTTGAGAGCACACTGTGTTCTGATCAACAGGACAATTTTTCACATTTACTTGATTATCATGCCATAATTTTAACATTGTTTCCTTCTCAGCAATAATACCATGAAGTTTACAAATGATACTTGAATTTAAAGATTGAGCATTTTTCACAGCTTTGAGAATTTTTTTCTTTACCTTTTATAATTGTTCTGACCGTCGATTCCGGTAGCTCAAACTTCTTTGCTAATTCACAAATTTTCAGTTTTGTATCGAAGTTAATAATGTTAACTTTACATTCCAAAGATAGTTTTTTTTTTCTTGTTTGATGCAGAAGAATCAGTCCTACTTCATTTGGATGACATAGTAGAGTCTCTCAAGTCTCTGTAGATATAACAAATACAGAAATAAATAACACACAATAAATTGTAGCTATGCGTCGATTCCGCGCGACATGTTCGAACATGTAAGCTGAACAATGTGGGGGAGTGAGTAATCAAGAGTTGCGTGGCACTCAAACAAAAGAGGAATTGGCAAGATTTGAAAATCGTGTAACTCCAAGTTCATGTAAGTCGGGGTAGCGTAAGTCGAGGTATTACTGTACAGTTGTTCCTCGATAGTCTGACGTTTTTTAATCCGACATGCTCAGTAGTCCGACATACCTCCCGTCAAGGTACCCGTCCCCGTTACGTGTCTGCTTGCACAGAAGTATGTCGCGATGTGAATCTCCCCATCCAATTCTTACTCGACGACACACATTTCGTGTGTTTTATGTGAGCAGTTCTGTTCAAACAGTTGGAGTAGAGAATATTGTAAGTTACTGCTAGCAAAACAATGCGAAATATGTAATTATTTTCGGTAATCCGGACACTTTTGGTAATCTGACACACCTTTGGTCCCATACCTGTCGGATTATCAAGGGACAACTGTATTTNAGAAACTAAGAAGTCTTGATCTGTACAATGAAGAATATGGGACTGTCTTGGATTTTCAAGCTTTATACCCGGCAATTAAATTAGAACCCCGCTTTTGTCATCTGAGGAACTTTCTCCTATGAAAATTTAACCATGCACTCAAGTTACAAAATCAAATGTTTGAGTTGTCACATCTGGTGACTTATTCATTATTGTTCTCACTTAACAACACTATCTACATACAGAACAGAGGTGTACCCATGGGGAGCCCCCTTTCAGGAGTGCTTAGGTTCCTGGAGACTTCCATCCTGCCCAAGTATGTTTCCAACATTTGTATATATGCTAGATACATAGATGATGATCTCATCATTTGGAAAAAAACATCCCATTATCCAAAATTTTATAGCTGACACAGACTCATGCTGAATTTGGAGCAAGAAAGTAATAGGGAAGTGCTAACACTCGGAATGGAAGCATCTTCATGAGCATTTACAGGAAACCTTCCTACAATCCATTGTTCATTCTTTGGCGTTCCCATGACCTACTCAACTATATCAGTGTTCTGGGCATTGATCAAGAGAATGGACACATTGCACAGATGCCCTTGATAGAAACAAGGAATTGAATTACAGTAATACCCCGAACTTACGGGATAGGTGGGACCAAGCAATAACCACGTAAGTCAAATTCATATAAGTCGGGGTATAATTTCACATACAAATACATACAAATTATTTTTAATTGAGACTGGAGACTAAAGAAAACAATAATTTAGAAAAAAATGTTTTCAAAAGACTTTAACAGAGAGCTTGTTTTGTCTCATAGCTTCATGCAGATGTGCAAACGATCATCTCATGTAATGAGCTTTGAACGTTTTGATGACTCCCTGGTCCATCGGTTGAAACAAGCTGGTTGTATTTGGTGGCAAAAATACAATTTTCACACGCGGGTCAAAATTAGTTAAAGTTGCAGGGGATGACCTGGTGCATTGTCGATTATTAGCATCACTTTAAATGGAATTTGTTTAGATTGGCAATAACGTTCAACTTCAAGTATGAAGTGATGACCAAACCAGTCCTCAAAAAGGGAAGCTGCCACCCAAGCTTTGCGATTCGACTTCCAAATCACAGGCAAGCCAGCTTTAGATTTTTTTAAAATGCTCTTAGATTTTCCAAGCGATAAACTAAGAGAGGTTTTAACTTACAATCACCAGCTGCATTTGCGCCAACCATCACTGTCAACCAATCTTTGGCAGCCTTAAAACCTGGAAAGGTTTTCTCTTCATGGGTGATAAACGTTCTTTTAGGCATCTTCTTCCAGAACAGGCCAGTCTCATCTACGTTGAATATGGTTTGGCTGGTATAGCAACCTTCATCTATCATAACTTTGAATTTTTCTGGATAGTAAGACGCAGCCTCTTTATCAGCACTTGTCGCCTCTCCACTTTCTGCAATGTTATGCCAATTACAGAGACTTTTGAATCGGCTGAACCAACCGTTACTAGCTTTAACCTCTTCATCTTTAGCCACTTCTCCAGCATCCTCTTTCAATCTCTCAAAAACCAGCTTAGCTTGAGAGCACACTGTGTTCTGATCAACAGGACAATTTTTCACATTTACTTGATTATCACACCATAATTTTAACATTGTTTCCATCTCAGCGATAATACTGTGACGTTTACGAATGATGCTTGAATTTAAAGATTGAGCATTTTT